CTTTATAAAGTATGTTCAAGGTCGAGATCAGTCTGCGACTATACTTGCCCTCTATGACGGTCATAAAAGCCACATTTCATTAGATCTAGTAGATTGGGCTAAAAACAACAATGTTATTGTTTTTGTTCTGCCTCCTCACTGCTCACATATTTTGCAACCAATGGATGTAGGTTGCTTTGGACCCCTTCAACTAAAATACAATCAGGAATGTTTACCTTTTTCACGTTTGAATCACAAAACAGTCACCCGTTATGATGTTTGTGCTCTTGCTTGCGAAGCCTACACTGCTGCCTTGTCTCCAACCAATATTCAGTCAGCATTTTCAAAATCTGGCATCTATCCTTTTCAATCAGCCGATAGCATGATAGAAAATTACTCCATCAATCCTCTACCAAAATGAAACAGGAGATAATCTAGAAATTGAAACTGAAGAAAAAAAATGTCACTGAAGCAAATGAACTTGCAACATCAAAAATGACACCTGCAAATTCAGACACAACCTGCAGGGAGAAACAAACTGCACTGGAGATAGTAACCTATCAAATAATGAAGATTTTTTTTCAAAGAAAGGGGGAGAAGTTCAATGTAAAATTGAAAACTTAAAAAAGAAGAGAAGAAATATCAGTCATGTAATTGGGGAGAAAGCTGTAACTGATGATGAAACGCTTGGGAAAATGAGATAATATTTAAACAATACTGCTAAAAAACAAAAAACAAAATCATGCAACACATTAACATCTAAAACTACAAAAACTGTGAGAAAACCAATCAAAAATCAACAGGAACCAAACAAGAACAAGAAGTGTATCGCATCATCAGACTCTCAACAGCCTGGACCATCTTGTATCAACCTTACTGATTCAGATGATTATATTCTAAACTCAGATGAGGAAGAACATGAATCGCAGATGAGTGAAAATGAGAAGTGTTGCGTTTGTAAAAATTTCTATGTGAAGTCAAGAAATGTGTATGAAATTGCTATTGTCAAATGGGCTCAATGTGAGTCATGTGGACACTGGGTTCATCTCCAGTACTGTTCAGCTGTTCATGTCAGGAAAAACACACCATTTAATTGTCCATGCTGTGAATAGATAATATCTACAAAATATAATTGCAATTGAAAACAATTATGCACTTAAAGAAAATGGTTTACTCACTGAAACATCCATTTTCCAAGCATTATTATTATGCTAGCATTGTATTTCAATACACTAAATATTAGTAAATATTTAGTAGAATTTCATTCATAGTTGTATAATTGCAAATTTAAGATGTGTATATGATTAAATATATTAAACATATTTTAACGATAAAATATCTTTTTATTTTGATTATTGCCCCAGTTGTTCACCTTACATTAGTAAAGAGATATATCGACGAATCAAACTATCGGAAACATATGACGCTCGTTTTGATTGGTCAAATACGGTATCCATTTTATTTATAGCTAGAAAATGCATATGATGACGACTTTATGCCAATTTATTGTCGGTGATTTTTAATGCAGTGCCTAAGGTTAAAAAATAATTCGATTGAAAATCATTGAGAAAACTGGGAATCAAATCGGACCTTGGTTGTTGTTAGATTATCGGAAACCCATGACGCCAGGATATATTGATGAAAAATGTACTAAAAAGTAGTGAAAGTTTTAGAACGCAGTGATGATTATTTTTTTAATCTACACAACTTGTCCACGATTTTACCGGACACCCCTCGTATGTTAATAATAATAACCATTGGATAAAAAAAAATGTCTATTTCTAAAAGTTTTCAGTATACATCTCTTGTATTAAGTACGACAGATTCTAGAATGATGAAGCAAATAACATTAAAGGATATATGCAATGGCACTCGATGTTTTTTCATATTGAAGAAATCTTTAAAAAATAATAGCTCCTAAAATTTCATCAAAATCCATTCACTTATAGCGGAGATATTCCGGGAAAACTCAGTTTCACACCTGAACGGTTTTTCGAAACGCGCGGTTTTGAGCGCCAGTATATCCTGTGACGTCACTACATGAACACGATCGCCATTTTGAATAAGAGGAAAGTGCACAAGGACTTATCGCTCTGCCGTATTTTGTGTTTATTTAGGTTTTTAGACGATTTAATTGGACTTCCGTTTCGTAGTATCGTAGCAGTAGATCTTAGTTTCAGTTTAGTAGTGTTAGTTTAATCTGATGTAAATATTTGACTGAGTTTTACCACGCCATAAGTGGACCATGTCGGAGGATACTCCTGTTGCTGATTACAGAGGTGGGAGACGATGTGTGGCTGGTGGATGTAGCCTAATGAAGACAGACGGTGTCAGCCTTCACTACTTTCCGTTTGACAGACCAGCAGTTCTGCGCCAGTGGACTTCATTTGTTCATCATACGAGGAAGAACTGGAAAGGCCCATCGAAGTATTCTGTGCTATGTTCCATGCACTTTTCTGAGGATGCCTACCCCGCCAAGTACAGGATCCTCGAATCGATGGGAGTATCTGTCGGCCGCAAAGATTTGATGAAGGATGCAGTTCCATCCCTTCAGAGAACTCCAAAAGGCAAGGACACCACTCCAGTCCTGGGGAAGCGTCCTACGGAAGGTCCAGCAAGTACACCCTTAGCCAGCACCCCTAAGAAACCTAGACGTGCTTTTCAAAAAAGGGAAACTCAAAGGGTAGGATATATATTTATTTACAATATTCAACAATATCTATATGCCGTTATTTATATTTGTTTACAAGGAAGTATGGAGAATTTACAGTGACTGTGCTATAAATTAGGCTAACCCTGTGAAGACAAAGCTGTACTAACAACAAATGTATAAAAAAAAAATCAAAGTATTACATGTATAAAAATATCTGTGATTGGCCCAGTTTAAGTCATCATTAACATATCAGGAGGTATTCGAGTAATGCACATCAGTACTTTTACCAAATTTTTTTTTAATGTAGTACTAGTAACAATAAACAACTACTGAACAAGTATGTACATCAATTATACCACAGAACATAAACAGTAAAGTATACCAACAATAGAAGAATAACAAAAAATATTGATTATTATAAGTTATACCAAATGTGCAATGCACAATGTACAGTATTATATAAATACTGCATGTAGTTGAGTGTAACATTGAAAATTTTCACCCCAAGAAAACCAGTGTCAACCGAGGCATGGAATTTTTCAATGTTACATTCAACTACATGCAGTATTTATTATATTATTCTGAATGTTTGAAGCAAAAACATTTTACAGTGAACCTTGCGCGCATGAATTCAGCGCAGTCAATATATTTTAGAATATCAAGCAATATTAACTATTGCTAAGCTGGAGGGTGTGGCTTCATTATTCAGCTGGAATTAGTGTTTTTTAACAAATGTTTCTCGACGAATCAGATTCGACTAATTTACATGAAAATATAATATTATTAATATGTAAACACTTTATTTCCACAGTATAAAGTTAAACAATAAGATCGGGATCGAGATATGCTAAACATAAACTGACTTCCCATAAATATCGGACAATATTTACAAGGTGTCAAGTGAATTCCCTATGTGGGTATGGTGCAAAAATAAATTATTGTCTTACTTATTGTCAGGCACTGTATAGGCTATGCCGAACAAACTCCATACTTTGTAATAATTGTTGATATACAACCAAATTGTGTACAGTTATTCTGTGTAACAAACCAACTTAGCACATACAAAATTGAAAAAATGATCAACTCATAGAAAGGATTTATTCTTTTTTATATGTAAAAGAAGAAGACTTGGCATATCTCTATACTCAAAATGAGAGTTAAGATGTAGTACATGCCAGGGCCTGTGACTCTGACTCTCTCATAATTAAATCAGCAACTGACTAATCAAGGAAATTTAACCTGTATATTGATAATCACAAAATACTTATTTTCATGCAAAATGAAAAAAAAACCAGTGCTAATGTACTTGTTACGTTTTCAGATACTACTGGATTACAACAGAAAATGTGAAGAAGAACCGTTGGAGGTAGATGAGCCTCTAGTGGAGCAGAGGGTTGAGCAGCAGACAATAGAGGAGCAGACAGTGGAGGATCAGACACCACAGAACCCGTTTAAGGCAGATGTAGAGGTGACTTCATTTTACCATATTACATATCTTATGTAAATTTCGGGTATTTTATTCCCTATATGTAATTGTTCAAATTGTTTTTATACAGTATTGCATCAAGCATTTTGTTATGGTTGTTCAGTCTAAATGATACATGTTACATGTTTGATAAAATTCAGCAAAAAAAGTAGTGATAATTGTTACTTTATTGTGAAGGTTACCCAGGTGCCAGTCAAGGAGACCAGAACTGTGGGTTCACAGCTCTCCTTACCAAAGCCATCAAGAATATCTCACTACACTCAAACCAAGTGGAAAGGTCATGATAAAGGTACAATTTTTAATAAAAGTAATTTTATACGGTGTTGTCAATACTTTGTTGCTTGAACACATCTTTTTATTGATAAATTTGATTGGTTCATGAAAATTGAATCCATTAACACTATTTCATTTAGCAATTTTTTTCTTTATCTACTTTCTCAGAAATAATATTTCAAATAAATTCTGACCCACACTGTTCAATATCATAGTTCTTCAATTTTTGAAAGAAAAAAAAAGGTAAAGACCACTCATTTAAATTGTATCTCTGAAAAAAAAAATGTAATCAAAATCTTTTAATTCTTTAGTTGTCCAAGTTGGCAACATTGTCAAGACCAGGGATATTGGCATTACTTGCAACCTCCTTCCAGCTCCTCCTCTTGGACCACCACCTGAAGAAAACTGCTTGGAACAGTCCTTTTTATCCGAGAAGACAGAAACGGTGTGTGAAGATGATGAGCATGATGAAACATTTGATGCCTCCTTTCAGTCTGTCGAGTCTGACGATTCCATGGACAGTGAGGAGGGGTAATCATTTAGATTCTTTATAATATCACTCTTCACTGCATGTAAATTATATTATACATGTGTGTTTAAAGTGATTATATGAAGAAAAGACAGTTCATGAATTCTTTTTATTTTTTGTTAATTGATTGTGAAGATGCGTTGTAGTAATTTCTCAAATAAAAATTACATTGCATAATTAAAATTTATTTTATTTTATTCAATTTTTAGGAATGGACGTGAGAGAAAGTTTATTGTGTATGAGTCTCATCTTCTGAGACTATTTGCCAGCTGTCCCTCCTGTACAAGTCCAACATTAGGGGAAGTTCAGCAGGTGAAGGGATCTTGTGTCACAATTCTGCAGGACTGTGGACTCTGTGGATTCAAGACCTCGTGGTGCAGCCAGCCTTTTGTTGGGGCCATCCCTGCTGGAAACTTTGAGATTTCATGTGCACTGCTCTTCTCAGGATCACTGCCCTCAAAGACCATCAGAATGTTCAACTTTATGAACCTTGCCACCATCTCCTACAGGACATTCATGTACCATCAACAGTGCTACTTACACCCTGCCATAGTTGATGTGTGGAAGAACCAGCAAGCTGCCTACATTAGGGAAACACTGGATTCCGGCCAGCCTGTCCAATTAGGTGGAGATGGCAGAGCAGACAGCCCTGGACACTGTGCCAAGTTTGGTAGCTATACCATGATGGATCTGATGAAAAACTTGGTGATTGACCTTCAACTTGTACAGGTATTTATAATGATGGATTTTTTTAGTACTAGATTTTGAACTAATGAACAAAATATTATAGTTATTCTTGTGGTTTATTTGCTGTGACTGTAATTCAGTGTGAAAGTGTTTTGAATTTTATTCCTTAGAGCAATGAGGTTGGGAGCAGTTGCCTCATGGAAAAAGAAGGCTTGGTAAGATCTGTCCATTTTCTGGAGCAGAGCAGGCTTGTCATCAGCCAGTTAGTGACAGATCGTCATCTACAAGTGGCAAAGTGGGTGCGGGAAAACATGCCAAACACAGTTCATAACATTGACGTTTGGCACGTGGCAAAAGGTAGGCATAAATTATGCTTGGTACTTGAAATAGAACCTAATAGACAAGAAAAACAAATAATTTTTCTAGTTGATTTGTTCTCTTTTTTTTTCTTTTTTTTTAGTAAATAATTACCAGTAATCTCAACAGTTGAATGAAAAAAGAATAAAAGATCATTATATTTCTCAATTTTTATTACAGGATTGAAGAAGAAGCTAGTGGCACTCAGTAAAGAGAAAGACTGTCAGGACTTTGTGGACTGGATAAAGAGTATCGTAAACCACCTTTATTGGGTTCCTTCTTCAACACCAGAAGATGAAGAAGATGAAATGAAATGGGAGAAGTGGTCCAGCATTCTCAACCACATCCAGAATGTTCATGATGGGCATGGAGACCACTTCCAGCGTTGCGAGCATGGGGACCTTGGTCCAGATGCTCGTCAAAAAAGATGGCTTAGACCTGGTAAGAACTTTTAGATTTATCATTAAAGTGAATAAATGATACATAAAATCTAGGTCAATTAACCTGACCTGTGTTGTGGTTTCCATTCTTTTTTTTTTTTGGACTGCACGTGTTTATACAGTAGATCAGTAATCAAGTGACCATTCAGTTTATTGGTAGATTGCTACTTTATGACAGAATTTCCTTCAAGGGATGGTTATTGAGAGGATTTTTTACCGATATTTTTATTTATTTAGGCACCAAGGTTGTTGAGAAGCTAGAATCAATTATCGATTCCAGACAGATGAGAAAGGACATCCCTAAGCTATCACCAACAGTTCAAACTTCAAACCTGGAGGCATATCACTCTGTGATAAACCATTTCGCCCCTAAGATGAATAGCTTTTCTTACAAGGGAATGCAAAGCCGGTAAGAAAGTAAAGACTTTTAAACTTGCAATTGCATTACAGAACTGTTAAAGATGTCACCATGTAAATTTATTGTTTTACTTTTATCAACTCCAAAATGATTTATCACACCAATTTTTTTTTTAGCCTTTTGCTTGCCGCTATGCATTACAATGAGAATTCTGCAAAAGGCCAGGCAGCTACAAAAGACGGTAATCTTCAGTATAGGATTGTCTTTCCAAAACAGAAGAAGGGGGAATTCACAGTGCAGAAAGTGAAGACTAAAAGCACATATGGTAAATTTTTTAAATTTTTATTGAGAACATTAATGTTTCCAGTAAAAAAAAAAAAAAAAGGTTAAATACACATTCTATGGTCTCTGATATGCACATTGTTTATTTCAGATTATGTGGATGCGTTGACAGATAAAGCAAGCGAACTGGTTTTTAACAACACCATGCCACGCTGTGAAGAAGGCAACATTGCTCCTCCGCCTTTGTGTCACCAGTACGTCCACCCAGAGAAGGATGTTGCTGTAGGCCAGCTTCTAACAAGGTTCAGACGAAACTAAATCCTCGGTACTGACCATTTTCCTCGGGATAGGTGGTTCTGATCTTGTGAACAGCACACGCTGGTAATGGGACCCGCACTTGTTTCCCGAGCCATCCCCAGCACCACCGAGCTAATTGTCTGTAACCTATATATCGCATTCGCCTGTAAAAGAGACAGATTTAAGTTCAAATGATTTGTTATGAAGATTATTTTTTTTCTTTTTGTTTCATTATTTAAGACACATAATGATTGTTATAAGTTTCAAACGATTTTTGTTATTTAGTTTCTTGTTATTTATTAATGTTAATTTGCATTGCATCTACAGTGCATTATTGTTTTGTATGCTCCATATATCTTGTTTTTGATGATCTCTATATTTACATAGTGCAATATTGTTTTGTATGCTCCATATATCTTGTTTTTGATGATCTCTATTGTTTTTGTTCTCTTGTTATTGTTTTTGTATTGTTTGTATTGTTTATTCTTTATATGATATATACAGGGTATTAAGAGTGCAGTATTGTTTTGTTAGATCTTATGTTTTTTTTCAGATCTTATGAATTTTTTTTCCTAAAGTTATAAGCATTTACATTTTTGTTTTGTTGATGAAATATTATGTATGATGAAATCTGAATAACAATCAGTAATCAAGCTCATAAGTCCATTGAAACCTTACAAACTGGGAGCAGAGCTCAATGTTTGAGAACTATTTTGTTGCTGAATAGTTTACATTGTACATAAATGGTGCTTTGATGTTACTGTGTTCAGACAGATAACCTTTGTTATTTAAATTTTTCCCCCTGTTAAAGAGATATTAAATTTCAGTTAAAAATGTTCTTGTTGTCATCACTTATTGTAACCATACTGTGAGTAAAGGTATAAGTTAGTACCCATTTGTCTCTGGCAGCTCCTCGTATTGTTGTCTGTATGCAAAATAAGCTGTACGCAGGACAGATGGGTGGATACAAACAGGTTGGAATCCATGATGTTCAATAATACAAATTTTCTCTGGGTCCTCTTCGAGTACGGATACCACCTGTGGGATTTCTTTGCAGCATACTGATTCGGTTACTGTAGGCATTGGGGGACAGTGTCCACATGTGCACCTGTAAAATTAAACAGGACCTATATTGCCTTAATTTTCACACTTCCTTCACATAGATAATATAAATTATGCTAAGACAGACTAAAATCAAATTTATTCTAATACATTTCTAATAATTCACAGGTCTAGTACAATTAATACACATTAACTACATAGCTTGAATTACCTTTGCTATTTTTATTTAGCTACTAGTATTTAAATAGCAAAATGGACAAAAAAATGCAAGTATATGACTAATAATATATATACTAGGGAGTTTTAATAATGCATTTCAAGGCAGTTCAAGCTGCTTTGGAGCATTTTAAAGCAAAATATGTTTTTCTTTTGTCCGAGTACTGTAATTATAACACAATGTGCTGAATTACAACAAATTAATTATAATGTTAACAAGAACTGGTCTACTTTGTTATTTCATTCAACGGGTATATGTTGCAATGTTGTGTAATGTATATAGCCCAAAACACTTGGAACTTCGATTGCAATTGCGCTAGAAGAAAAGCATCAAGAGTTTTTTTTCTTCTCACTATTGACCAGCTGTTGACCACTGTTACTAGCGTCATAGAAGGGTAAAGTTTACTCGTAACGTTGGAATAAGAAAAAATAATCGATGACTGAATTTCAAGGGTCAATCAAGGCCTTTCTAAACAATTAGGAAAACACAAGCTTCATACCAATCGTTGTTTCCCAAGCGGTCTGTATTGTCCGATGGGCTTCTCACAGGGCTATCTCCAGCGTTCGCCTCCTCGTCGATATCGACCTCTGGCTCAAATAAATATGGCTGGGTACCAAACTGAACATCCCTGTCTATATCCTCGAAAGTTGACGAGCCAGCAGACAAATCTAAATCGATACTATCGTCGCTAGAACGCGAGTTGTTACAACTTCGTTCCATACTGACCGCCATTCTGTTCATGTAGTGACGTCACTTCCGCCCGGCCTCGTTTTCGACTATTTCTATTTTTGCTTGATTGGATATTCAGGACAGGTAAAAATAGCAATTTAACAAGCGGCGTAACTCCGTTATCTAACCACCGATTTCGATGCGGTTTTTTGCTATCTGTCTTTTATGATCAGGAGCGTAAAATATAAACCAATTGATTGCCATTGCATATATCCTTTAATAATCGTACATATTTATGTTCTTTTTTTAGTCAAACAAGCCGATCTCCGATATCAACGGTATAATTTCAACACAGCTGCCAACATATCAACAAATGATGAAAGAGCAACTGTAGGTCCCTCCTTCTCTTAATCCACCCTCCCCCGATTTCAATGATAATGTCCTTATTTTTTCTAAATTGCTTATCTATGAATATGTTGTGGAGTTTAAAATTAAGTTTGTCATAATAGGTCACAACTGAAGATTTGAATAGGCTCCCACTGATTTTTTCTCAACAACACTGTGAAAGCAGTAAACTATTGCAAGATATAATGAACTTGCCATACGCAACATGGTAGAGCGAATAACTTGCATTTCATTATCGTATATGAAAAAAAAATTGGTGAATATAGAAATGATTTTGTCAATTCAATTTACAGTGTATTTGTAATTTTGTAAATCATTTTTAACATGATATAAAACTTGCAATTTAATTTTTTTTTTCAATCCGGTGCGAGTCCATACTACAAAGATTTGTATAACCGGCTATTCCAGTACCCAACAGTCAGCAACAAAAGAAGATATTCAGACTTTATTGGTTCCATCAAAAAGGTAGGGCTTAAATACTTATAAGATTATGACAAGAAAAAGAAAATTAAAATAGTGAAATACATTGATTTTAAAATTATAAAAATTATCCAACAGAATCCTGACCACTGGAACAAAGATGTGTTGGACTAAAGTTGAAGTGGATGACAGAAAAACAAAAGTATACACCGTAAAGGACTGTGAGAAGTATAATAATCACAATTTGTGTACCTTATACGTCCCTACGTTTACACATGCTGCAATTAATCAATAATTTTAGCAATTTTCAAATAAGGGTCTGGGAATAAATATTATCATTCTGAGTCCAGATTTTCCCCCCCCTTGTTTTCTATTTTATTTCGCATCGATTTGTACTAGTACCACTATATTTTTGAGAATTATGGTGAACTTGTTTCATTTCAGCAATCAGCTCCATTATTCATTGCTTTTATACTAAACATGAGTACGGATTACTCTATCCGTCTACCTGATCAATACATAGGGCTCAGGGCGGGTGTGACCAGTCAACAGGGGTTTCCTGCTTTTCCTAGACATGTGATCCCACCTCTGAAAATTCCAGGGGTCCGTGTTTTATCCCTGTTTACATTATTCTTTTTTTTTTTAATCTTTGCGTGGTGCAGCATCGCAATTTGGCGTTATGGAACTGTGAGATCATTAACGTTGTTTTTCCGCACCATTGGACTTTTGTGTCTGCACATGAACCAGGTACATGGGGTTTTGGCACAGACTAAAGGACTTCGGGTGAAAATTTCCCTATATATATAGAGAGAGAGAGAGAGAGAGAATTTGTGTGCGTGTTAATCACTTGCTATTCGTAAAGTTAACTATTTTCTTATTGAATTTTGATTTGAGCATTGAATTTTTTTTTTTGGATATCTTTGGTCGTAAAACAGCACTTGGCCGTGCCAACAATGGAATACCGCGGTATGATAATTTTTCGGCACGACCAGGTGCTTTTCTAGAAGCGAAGACATCTTAAAGTGAGAACTCAATGCTTTATATACACTTTGGCTGAAAAATAACTTATCGTAAACTTTGGTGAAATCAGAAGATAAACAGTTGGTTGTGATGTTCCTTGCGATTATTTGCAATTTCTTTAGGTATTCTTAATCAGTTTCTTGTGTGATCTCTCTTTCTGTGCTATATCAGTGTAACTTTGAAATTCTCTTAAGGCCTCCAGTTTCTCTTCTTCTGTTCTTGACTCAAGCATCCTCTTCCTCAGTAGTTCATATGTACGACAAGCATCAAAACGTGGAACACAAATTTATTGGGTGAAAAGAAGGAGTTCAAAATGTTCTTTATATTTCAAAAATGTAGTGGTAAGAGTCCTTGGATATTTATCCTTTTTGATTGAAAGAAGACCCGGCAATGCTATATGGAGCCCATGGATTTAATTTTTTCCCCATTTCTCCATTGAATAAATTGTCAAATCACAGGCACCTGACGTTACTTATTTTTCTATTAACGAAAAAATATCCCCTTCCCAAATAATGAACAAGGTATATATCGCCTCCATCTTGAGTTTTTTCTAGGTCGGCCACATCAACTTGTCATTTCGTGTCAAACTCGAAAGTTTTGAGACGAAAATACAAGTTGATGTGACTGACTTAGAAAAAATCAGGAGTGCGGCGATATGTATCTTGTGAATTATTAGGTAGAGGTTATATTTTCTTAATAAAAGAAAAATAAGTAACGTCAAGTGTCTAAAAATACCGAATCTAAAATTCAGAAAAGCAACGCAGTCCAAATTTCATATGCACTCTCTATCACAGTCAGACAATTTATTTTCTCGATAGAGAGAGAAAATTTTACATCCTGTTCAATCAATTTCGAATCAAAGGGTGTATCGACGTGATCGCTTGTTGAAAGATCTCAGGGTATAAAATGAGATACTAATCATAACTTCCTCCTGAGCAAACATTACTTTATACTTGAATGAATATTTATGTTTTTACCCAAACTTCCTAAAGGATGGGACCAAAAGGGGATAGATCTCTCTTTAGAGAAGAACAGTTTTGCACACATTGTACTGCGACGAAAAATGATGAACATCGTGTGTACGTGATTATATTATGGCATCGTATATATGTGATTAATTTATGTTATAACATCGGATATACGTTAATAATTTAATTCTGATTGTAACGCGCCATTTGATTGGATAAAAAATTTACTTTATATCGTATAAATTGGGTTGCCTACGTCACAATGACTTGCGTCAAAAACATACCGTTTCGTCTGACGTTACATTTGAATTTTGTACAATTTGAAGTCATTTTTTAAGAACAATCATCTTTTTTTCTTAAACAAAATGAATGAAAATTAAATTATAAGGAATGAAATTAATAGCTACCCAATTTATACGGTATAAAGTGGATTGGAGCAGTTTGTGCTTTTTTATAAACTGCTTCGCTATTTACAAAGTGTAAACTGCCCCAATCCACTTTATACCGTATAAATTGTTTAGCTATTAAATTCATTCCGTAATTATGCTATAATAAGATCTCTGATGTCCTTGCAATGTATTGAACTTCCTTTTACTTTCCTTTAGGTATCTCCATATGTGGCATTACTTGTAAATAAATACAATATGTTTGCAGTTGCCATTTTATTTACATTTCTTGCATCATTTGCATGGTTCATTCAATATAGAAAAATCATTTAAAGCAAAAAGATGTGTTTGTGAAACACTTATGCCCCCGTACGGCAACTTATGATTAAAGCTTCTCAAATATATGTCAAACTCCAAGGTCAAGATATCAATCATCTTGTTACCCAAAGAAAGGACATGTGTCAATGGATATATCTGGTAAATATGAAAGCTCAAGCACCAAACATTCAAAACTTTAGTCAAGGTTAATGTTTTCTAAAAGTGGAAACTCCAAGGTCATGGTAAAAATTGATGACCTTGTCAAAAGAAATACACATGGAAAATGTTAAAGCCCTAGCACCAACTGTTCAGAAGGTACATGTATGGAGAAAGTTAGTTTTTCAAAATTAAGTCAAACTCCAAGGTCAAAGTCAAAATCGTTAGTATCCAAAAGAAGGTCTTGTCACAAGGGATTTACCTATGAAATTTAACAGTCCTAGTGCTAAATGTTCAAAAATGTTCAAAAGTTATGGTCAACATTAAAGTTTTTTAAAGTGGGTCAAACTCTAAGTCAAGGTCAAAAATATTTACACCCATGGAAAGGCCTTGTCACGATGAATAGACATTTGAAATATGAAGCCCTAGCAACAACTGTTTAGAAGTCAGGTCTTGTCACAAGGAATACACGTGTGAAATATGAAAGTCCTAGCTCCAACCAATCTGAATCAAAAGTTATGGGACAGGTTAAACTTTTTTCGGACAGACGTACAGGGCGAAAACTATATACCCCCGAATCTTCGATTACAGGGGCATAAAAAGACTAAAGGAGAACACGTTTCTTTCACTACAAGTGGAAATTGTCCCTCTTTCATCGGAATAGTTTCCTAAGCATTTTTGCCTGTAAAATATGTATGGAGCATCTTGTTAATTATCATCTGTCGTGTATAAAAATATTTATAATAAAAGAAGCGACTTTCCCCGAGAAAGTGTATCAAACCCATCAAACGCGTAATATATTAAACAAATTATATTTGTTTAAATGAAGTAAGTGATGTTTACTTAGAATGCTGTATCTAGTGACGTTTGATCATCATCATTGTACCCCTCACTGACGTCCCGTTCCATACTGTAGATTTCCAAGTCCAGTCCCAGCGTCCTGGGAACCAGGCACCATTAAGAAAGGCATGGTGACATCTGTTAAACCACCACCCTCCTTTCCATATAGCAGCACAGTTTCCATTACTATACCTGTCATTATCTCTGTCTTTGGTTGAGAAGGACATCCCAGACAGAGTATAATTAGCGTTACCTGTGTTTACCATACTGTCACCTATAGATTAAAAAAATACACAGCTACATAATTCGTATTTTAATAAAGTTGTATACATCCCATCATCCCTATGAGTTTTAACAATTGTGTCTTCTGTACAGCGAGATACATGTACAGTATAATAATATTGTGCCACGTCCACAGGCACTTGGGGTATGGACACCCCCCCCCCCCCTTTTCCATTTTTTTTTTCTTTTTAAATCTGGGGTCGAGTCACCTTTTTCCTATTTTTGTATTCTAATATGCACTATATGTTATCAATAATGTAACTCTTTTGTTTCTATAAGCTGTTTTTAGATATATCGTTTTCGACTGATACATAAAAAGAGAGAAGGCTTGCAACTCTTTTCTCGTCGTCTGCCTCACCTCGCTTAAACTTCGCCTGATTATTTATCTAAAGCATAAGAACACATGGAATATGCATACGTCAATAAATTTGTTACACTTTCTTCTTCCTTTTCATATTTCCATTTAACTTTTATGCATCCCCGATTTGTAAATATTTCGATTAAATCACCCGCATTTAGGGTAAAATTTGCTGATGTGCACCAGCTGGGACGGAAGTGCAATAACGGTAACTCTAACTTTACAAATGTTCTGCATTTAAAAAAAATCCAGGCTTTGTAATAAAAATATTGTGAAATTTGGTTGTCTAGGTCGTATGTAAAAAATGTTAATCTTCATCCATAAGAATCTGCTAGTTACAGTTATCTTGTTATACAGAGAACTTACCGTTACATGAAATATGAGAAAATTCGGGATTTTCCCCTCTCGCATTTAATGTTCCGAATGACATTACACTCAATGATGACGTCCGAAAATACCGGACACTTCCGTCCCAGCTGGTGCACATCAACAAATTTTACCCTAAATGAGGGTGATTTAATCGAAATATTTACAAATCGGGAGCACATAAAAATTAAATGGAAATATGAAAAGGAAGAAGAAAGTGTAACAAATTTATTGACGTATGAATATTCCATGTGTTCTTATGCTTTAGATAAATAATCAGGCGAAGTTTAAGCGAGGTGAGGCAGACGATGAGAAAAGAGTTGCAAGCCTTCTCTCTTTTTATGTATCTGTCGAAAACGATATATTTAAAAACAGCTTATAGAAACAAAAGAGTTACATTATCGATAACATATAGTGCATATTAGAATACAAAAATAGGAAAAAGGTGACTCGACCCCAGATTTAAAAAGAACAAAAAATGGAAAGGGGGGGGGGGGTGTCCATACCCCAAGTGCCTGTGGCCACGTCTACTTCAACATTTAGCTCAAAGCGCTTTACCGTTATGTAATAAAAATGATCAAGGAAAATATACAGAGTCACTAAAATGGTTATAAATCAGCAAATCATCAAAATAAAATGAATATAAAGCAGAATAAGATGCTTGTAAATCCACAATAACCATTTTAATTTCTTTATATCATATATAGGAAAGGTATATTAAACCCTGTATGTTTTTTGTGTATAGAAATAAAGTAGAAGATTTATAAAAGGCAACTTCGACAAAAACAGGAGTCACGTTAAGTTGGTGGTGGTGTAGATAGAAGGGAAAGGAGTAAAGTCAATCCCGAACTTAAGGACGTTGGTTGGATAGAACTTGGCGCTGAACTGTGGAGTGCCTTATAAACACACAGTACACATAATAGTTTTTATTAACCTTTTAGTTTATTAATAGTCAATGTAACCGACAAGATCTAGACAAGTGTGATGTCCTCCAATTTCTCAGTACCAAAGCAGAATCTTGAACAGGTGAAAGTTTGTTCGAAAGAGTTTTGTCATTCCAAAAACTAATAATTGGTACAATCCAATCTTGATGGTACAGGCGAATTGATATATCGTAATAAAATGTAGTGATGTTGACTTTCTTATCAACAAACTTGTATACATGGTCAGATGTGCAATAATAATTATATATTTCCTTTCAACTTTTTCCCCTTTATTTTTCTCTCTTTCATCTCACACTTGTTTGTAGGGCACACACTCTAACTATAACGTACCTAAGGTTCCGTTGAGGTACTCCTCCAGAAATAATTTATAGTTCTCTCTTTCATTGGAAACAGCGAACTGATTGTACAACGCATACATTCTTCTACCACTCAAGAGTGTAATAGAAACGTAAAGGAATGAATTCTTCTCTTTTGTTAGGTGATGAATTGCGTCATTTCCTATATTGACATACATACATATAAAATGGACAAGCATACTGCAATGCATTTAGTTTTATTTTTAATAAATATATCCTAATGAAAAATCAATATTCTGAAGCTATTTTATCAATAAATCTAATGCTTAGGCAACTGATTGTGAAATGTATTTTGATTGGCTGAAACGCTGATGTTATAGGCAGTTAAACTCAACCCTTCATGACGTATCATATACACATGTAACAAAACAAATAAGACGTAAACAGTAAACAAATTGCATTAACTGCATTAGACGCTTTTGCGTCGCCGGCAAAACTCAGTTTGCGCGACCGTTAAATAGCATTAACAGTCACAAAAAAAACAACAACAAAAACAAAAACAAACAATTGAGAAGAGGGTGCGTTATTTCCTATTTTATACTTTGAACTTTTAATGTGTAGACTTTTCCGTTAAATGTTATCACTGAAAAGTATTTGTGTATGGTCATGTCCTAAAGTGAAATATTCTGTTTATTTGTTTCTCTCGTATCTAGATCTATTTCATACCTATTTCTTTCTTTAAACCTATTTTACAAATGCAATAGCACTATATACATGAATATTAGCGAACAGATATTACACAGTGTTGAAATCGGATCTTTGTTTCCTTTTAAATTTGACATTTTGCTACAAAGATTACTTGTCAAATACGAGGCCGCATCAAAGATCCGACTTAAATGAAATTTATATTTACCGATCCAGACATTCCCTTCCGGTTCACCAAAACCTTTCTTGTATTCTGTCCAGTTCCCGTCAAAGCTCAGGCTTCCGTTTACTCGTTTTTGTATAACCTTCCAAGAATATTCATTTATTCATTTTTATTTGTGATGAGAATTTCAATATTAAGTGTGTTATAAAAAAAAGATTGGGTGTCCCCTAAACAAGAAAATTTAGATTTCAATATAATTTCTTATTCCAATTCTGAAGCTTAATCAGTAAACTAGATACCGTCCACCCTCCGTTCATTGTTTCCATATCACAGTAAACTCTGACAGGACTGATACTGGATCCATAGGGATAAATTTCGTACACACTGGAATTAGTGTGACCATTTTTACGGAGGTCCTTGCAGTCTGTACGAACTGAATAAGGAAAAAAGAAGAATGCAAAAAATCATATTGAAAATTATATGACGAGAAATAGGCTAGCAAGCACAGGTAAATAAAAAAGTTAATAAGGGTATATATAAGAATTGGAATTAATTTCTGAAGTTGGATTGTGAACTATGAAATACTGTGTTTATTATCTAAAATATATGTTTTATTAAAATATATGTTTTATAATTGTTCATATTATTAGTCCCCTACCGGTGAAACCGAAGGGGACTATAGGTTTCCTCTGAGTCTGTCCGTCCGTCTGCCTGTCTAGTCTGTCCCTCTCTCTGACGGTCTGTCTCACTTGGTTTTCCGCACTATTTTTCTAAACGCTTGCAGATATTGAGCTGATTTTTGGTATGTGAGTGTATCTTGGTGAGTTTCAGATCAAGTTTCCATTTCGTTCCGCTTCAATGATTTTTGACGGAATTACGACCTTTTCAATTTTTCGGGGTTTTCCGTAATTTGTTTCTAAACGCTTGCAGATATTGAGCTGATTTTTGGCATGTGACCTAACCTTGATGAGTTATAGATCAAGTTTGCATTTCGTTCCGCTTCATTGATTTTTGATAAAAATAAAATTAATATTTTTTGCCATAAAACTTTTTTATTCATGAAATCTAAAGAATGTTTCGTCAGGTGTAAAATAATATGTACAATAATATGGAAAACGCCAAAAAGAGAATTTTGAACATCAAGGAAAAGCTACATTTTATTAATTTACAATCAAAATAAGTCCAAAAATGTATATTAATCGATGCTTGGAAGTGTGTCGCAGGTGTCCTTAAAATTTTTAATTAAATATAGTTTTCCAGTGACCAATTAATACAACACAAAACTTGTATTAAAGCTAATACTTTAGTTACGATTTAAGATCATTAAAATTGGGGACATATAAAAATCATATAATTATAACAATTATTAAAATTATTTACTATTCATTTAAGCATGTACATGTAATACGCATTAATGTTGAAGAATCCCATGTTCAGGGAGTCAAGTTCGATATCATGGCCTATTTCGGCTAGGAAGAGTAAAATGGAAAAAAAAGGTTGCTTAGTTTCCCGATGACAGTGTCTCTTTAAACGTTTTACCTCAGAACTAGGAAAGCGACCTGTCGTAAAATTTACAAACTAAAACTCTTGTTAAAAATATAATTCAACTCAAATTTATCAAACAGATATCTTCAACTGTCATCGATTAATTACATAGTTGTCTTCTCTGCTGAAAGATGCAGTAGCCACACAATATAACATGAAGTATTTCTTGGCTTTTATTGATTTGACAACAGTTATCAATTTTGATTAGGCTGTTTAAATTGAGAAAAAAATTGAAAAGAATTATTCAAGATATAATTTTTAATTAATATTTTTAGTGTGTAAATATAAAGTGTAGATCCTACCTCCTTTTGTGCCTCAGCATGAATATGGCTGGGTCTTATCGTGTTTGTTATGCCCGTCTTCAGTCGCACTTTGCGTTAAGCTCAGTTTCAAAGAAACTTTTCAAGATATTTTAATCAGTCTGTTACACATTTGGGAGAGCTCTACAGATGCATCAACAGTTTTTTTTACCTTGACCTTTTATTTTTTCCTCTCTTAAAAAAATGTTTAGATAAGTTTCAAAGAAACTTGTCGATTCCTTTATCAAATCTTGTATGCAGGTATATTTTGAGAGCTTTTCAACTTTGACCTTGGCCTTACCTTTGATCTCGACCAATGATTTCAAAATATTCTCTTAGCTCGGTTTTAAAGAAACTAACTATTCAAGATAATGTAATTAAACCTTATATGCTAATACATATTGGTCAGAGCTTGACCTCACTTTTCTTAATTTTTTTTAGCTACTTTTCAAAGAAATTATTCAAGATATTTGTACCAAATTTCATAAACTGGTACATATTGATGAGAGTGAATTAACTGAAAAAAGTAAACCTTTTTTGGCCTTTACCCTTCTTTTGACCTTGACCTTACTTCTCTTAAATAAGTGTTTAGCTGATTTTCAAAGAAACTACTGGAAATATTTTTATCAAACCTTAAATGATGATACACATTGGTGAGAGCTATTCATTTGCATAAACATTTTTGACCTCGCCATTTACTTTGACCTCTAATTTCTCTTTTCTTTTCTGTAATTTATGTTCAGCTCAGTTTCAAGGAAACTATTCAAGATACTTTGATCAAACCTCATATGTTTATACGTATTGATGAAAAGTTTTCAACTGCATGAATATTTTTACACTTAACTTTGACTTTGACTTCATATATCATATTAAAAAAAATATTCATATTTATTGACTCGCCATGATTATGGCTGGGACCTACGTCGTCCGTCCTTCCGTAACTCTGCGCTAACCCCAGTGCTATTTAACTGCTTTAATATATTTTGACCTTGGCTTTCCCTTTGGCTTTGCATTTACCTCAGTTTAAAAGAAGCTTTTCAAGGCATTTTATGTAAGCGTGTGCACTGATACATAATTTGGTGAGAATTTATCACCTGTGTCCATTTCTTTACCTTGACCTTTCTAATGGCTTTTGACCTTACTATTTATTCTGTATAAAACTCAGTTTTTAAGAAACTATTCAACATATTTTCGTCGTACTTCATACACTTAAACAAACTTTTATGTTACATAACTAATGAACTATGAGAGGGACATTCATGTCCAGTAGACCCATTTCTACATGTAGTTTATTTAGACTGCTTTCCCTAATGCGTAGCGGTAAACAGGTTTTTTTCTCTCATTTTTTTCTTTTTGGAAAAAATTTGAAATTCGAGGAATCTTCATATGCATGGAATGACTGGCCTCTGATGTATGGAGAAGATTAATTGAAACATTTCACAGAATCATGCTTGTATTATGGGTAAAACATCTGTTAAAACGCAAAAGATTTACAAAAGGAGACTTGTATTTCATTTTTGCAATTCAAAATGAAAAAAAATGCGGCATTATATATTGGAAAAAGATACTTCTTTCATTGCAGTTGAATGTACCAATTTTCATCCCTAAATAATGAATAAGGTTTTTATTTTTATTCTTTTATCATAGAAAAATTGTCATTCATCAAAAATGACCTCGTTTACATGAGTTGCTGATTTAAACGTAATTTACTGGACAGAAATTTTTCAGTGGATTGTCCTTCAATACCTTCATGAAAAAAAAGTTTCAGCACACGTGCTTGCATGCGTGCATGTTCAATTATGATAGTATCATAATGTAGGGAAACACTATAATTATCTATATTCTAAGTTTCATCCTATTTCGTTGAAATATAAAGAAGTTATAGAGGTTTAAAGTATCAGCCAATCAAATTTCAGTGCATGTGCATGCGCGTGTTTTCAAGAATTTTCGTATATATCATATTGCAGACCCTTAAGATACATACATATATTTCAAAGTATTTCAAGGAAGTTATTGACATATTTGTTTCAGCCCATCAGAACGAGGCGCACGTGCAAGCGCGTGAGTACATGCTAATTTAACCATGTCATCTTGTCTAGAGTTCTAATACATCTTTATATTCCGAGATTCAAATCATTTTATCAAAGAAAAAATATAAAAGTATATGGTTCATTTCACTCATCGTACGCATAGGCACGTTCATAAATGTGCGGGCATAATGACTTTCCATCTGAGTTCCCCAAATCTACACAACATACTTATTAACCCTGAAATCAGACACAAATGAGTTAGATATGACAGAAGCAGAGAAAGAAGAAATCAGATGTAGGAAAGAGGATATAAAAAACCATCAGAGGAGGAAATGGAAGGAAAAGTGAGACAAAGGAAATATATAGAGACCCTCAGAAGCTGTAAAACAGGAACCAAAACTCCCCGACCCAGGGTTACGACTATTTGAAGAGATATCCTTTCTCTCATAGCCCTGAAATTAGTTCGTCTGCTTAATACCCTGGGGCAGAAAAGAATATCTTCAAAGAAATGAATTGCATTTTTACTGTATTATAAAAAGTTTCATCTCAATCGTGTGAGTAGTTTCTTAGATCACTCTCGGACAAAAAAGTACCCAGGAAGAAGAAAAATGATAATTATAAGAAAGAGTAAAAATAATATGTTCCGAAATTTCGGTTTGGGAACAAAAATATCAAGTAAAAAGGCAGGAACGGCAACAATACAGCCCCCCTCAATCCCCTTCCCTATATACTATTGAAAATGTTTGATAGTTTACAAAAATATAAATATCAATAAAGTTCATAAGATTATCAATCGCTTACACAAAAGGCAAAGGTTTAACATTTTACTACATACAGTCTACATTTACTTTGTAAAGCTCAGAACATGTACATGGAAAAGTGTACAAGTACGCATGCCTAACCTATTATTTCATTTAACAAATTGATTGTATGTTGTTTTACGTCCCGTTCGAGAATTTTTCACTCATATAGAGACGTCACCATATACCGATGAGGGCTTCAAATTTAGACCTTTACTCGGAACCCAAGTTCATTGAGCAGTGAGGGTTCTTCATCGTGCCAACGCCGTCTCATCCGAAGGACCCGCAACTTTCACTTCAAAGTGCCGAGCACCTGGCGAAGGAACAGTTGCTACTTAATTTTTTTTTTATCCACTTGGGTCAGTTGCGGCCGTGATTCAAACATGCGGTCTTCTGATCGCGGAGCGAGGGCTCTACCGACTGAGCTACCGTGACGGCTTAACAAATTGTATATGTACGTTTATGCGTAGAAAAGTGGATGAAAATCAAGTAAAAAGAGTCAAATTCAGTTTTCCTTAAAAATAGTCTGATATATGCTGCTTCTTCTATTTCGCAAGTGTGATGACGATCTCTGTTTGCATGCATTAGCAGCAAGCGAGGATTGATTAATTGATTGTATGTTGTTTAACGTCCCTCTCGAGAATTTTTCACTCATATGGAGACGCCACCACTTGCCGGTGGAGGGCTACAAATTTTGACCTATGCTCGGCACTTACGGCCATTGAGCAGTGAGGGATCTTTTTCGTGCCAGCACCTACTGCGACACGGGACCTCGGTTTATACGGTCTCATCCGAAGGACCGGTTTCCACGTCCCACAGTGGGATTCAAACTCGCGACGTAAGGATCAACTCCTTACTCCGCGACTCTATAGCAGACGCTCTAACTACTGCGCCACGCGGGCGGCTCAAAGCGAGGAAAATCATTATTTATCAAAAGTAAGTGCTTGATTAACTTAGCCATGGGCAGTTCCGTGTTGTACAAAGATTAAAAAAAGCAATTCATTGTTTGTGCGAAGCTTTGGATATATCAAACAAAATTGTATGGAAAAACAAGACCGCAAGTTCTGGTATGGAGGAATTATGTACTCTTATTCTCTCTTATTCGAGAATTTATGTACCGAAGATTAAAAGATCTCGCATGTATGTGGGAGATTAAAAGCTGAATAATCAGCATTTTAAACATTGTCGTCCACTTTTCTGATGCAAGAAAAATAAAGACTATAAATTGACATTTAAGGTTTATTAAAACACAACTGAATATCAAAAAAAAAGTCTTTCATTTTTTTAAGCTCATAGAGGTATGCGTTAAGAAATGTATACTGAAAATATATTTTCTCCAAACCTTTGCAAACCAAGTCCGACTTCCAGGTCCCTTTCTCGAGACACAACAGCCTTCCTGATCCTCGTTGTTCATAGGATTCGTGGCATTTTATGTGCATTTCTTTATAGATTCCTATCCCGTCCCCATCCTTTACATTCCACGTTGTATTCCTCATGTTGGTGGGAATCCCACAGTCTAATAAGAAAAATAAACTGACTATCTGGATGACAAAGGTACAGGACTATCTAGAAAACCTTGAATAATTAATTAAAACAAGAGGCCCAAGGGCCTTCACGGTCACCTGAGTATAATACAACAATTTAGAGGATCCATAGAGTATAAAATGAACTGAAAGGTGAAGCTTTGTTGCCCAAAAGCAAGAAATTAGGGGATCAGGATCAACAAAATAATTTGTCTAGTATTCATTAACAATTCATAAATTAGGTTCTAATCTGTTCCCCATATATCACTATCACCATTCAAATAAATTAACAAACTATCAGTGCTTCTGTAGTATTATAATTCCTTGTTGAAATCTCTTACAATGGTTTCTCTTGGTCTTTGATAAACATTTAATAAGACAAGTTATTTTTGTCTCATTTTTATTTATCTATTACTTACAAGTCTACCTGATCATTAAAACTACGAAAGTACTTTTTGTATTATACAATAAAAATTCTTGCATAATTCTCTTATTCTATTAACCTTTCAAGTACATTATTTACAGTGATTAATTATCAAAAGTAAATGGCAAAGGGGAATAACTCCTCTCAGTATCATGCAAATTAATAGAGCCCTGGTCAGGACCAGAACACTTGACCAAATGGTCCAGATGTTCAAAAATCTGGTAAAAATACCCTTCCTCATTAAAACCTTTACTCTTTTTGCCCCTGATATGCCCAGGTGCAGAGAAGATTTTTAACGAAATAATGCATTTTGATAACAGATTCACTATATTATCAACAAACCCCCCCCCCCCTTCCAAACCGAGAAACACCAGAGCCTCTCACCCTGGGACCAGAAGTTTGTTCATCATAAGTTATCACTGTTTATCTGCTTAACAATAAGGAGCAGACAGGATTATTTAATAGAATTAATTCATTTTCACTGTATTATCAAGAGCCCCACCCTTACACCAGCACATCTGACCCAGTGGTCATGCATTTCATTACTCTGGAAGAAACACTCTTGCTCATCATAACTATACACTTAGCTTCTTTGCTTTTTAACTAGAAGCAAAAAAGAATATTTTTAAAGAAATTTTGCTTTTTCACTATATAATCAATAGAGCCCACCCCCCCCCCCTCCCTTTCACCAGAACCTTTGATTCTGGGGCCATGAAATTCACAATTTTGGAAGAGGCATCCTTGCCTATCATAACAATTTACTTAATTTGTTTGAATAATAACCAGGGGCAGAGAAGAAGATTTTCAAAGAAATAATTCACCTTCACTATAGGATCTATATAGCCCCACCCTTACACCAGAACCCCTGACCCTGGGGCCATGATTTTTACAATTTTGGTAGAGTCACTCTTGCTTATCATAACTATATATTTAATTTGTTTCAATAATGCCCAGGGGCAGAGAAGATTTTCAAAGAAATAATTCACCTTCACTATAGGATCTATATAGCCCCACTCTTACACCAGAACCCCCGACCCTGGGGCCATGATTTTCACAATTTTGGTAGAGTCACTCTTGCTTATCATAACTATATATTTAATTTGTTTCAATAATGCCCAGGGGCAGAGAAGAAGATTTTCAAAGAAATAAATCACCTTCACTATAGGATCTATATAGCCCCACCCTTACACCAGAACCCCTGACCCTGGGGCCATGATTTTCACAATTTTGGTAGAGTCACTCTAGCTTATCATAACTATGTATTTAATTTGTTTCAATAATGCCCAGGGGCAGAGAAGAAGATTTTCAAAGAAATAATGCACTTTCACTATATGATCTATAAAGCCCCACCCTAGCACCAGAATCCCTGACCCTGGGGCCATGAATTTCACAAATTTGGTAGAGTCAATCTTGCTTATCATAACTATGTATTTAATTTGTTTCAATAATACCCAGGAGTAGAGAAGAAGATTTTCAAAGAAATAATGCACTTTCACTATATGATCTATATAGCCCCGCCCTAGCACCAGACCCCTGACCCTGGGGCCATGAATTTCACAACTTTGGGAGAGTCACTCTTGCTTATCATAACTATGTATTTAATTTGTTTAAATAGTACCCAGGAGTAGAGAAGAAGATTTTCAAAGAAATAATGCACTTTCACTATATGATCTATATAGCCCCACCCTAGCACCAGAATCCCTGACCCTGGGGCCATGAATTTCACAATTTTGGTAGAGTCACTCTTGCTTATCATAACTATGTATTTGTTTCAATAATACCCAGGAGTAGAGAAGCAGATTTTCAAAGAAATAATGCACTTTCACTATATGATCTATATAGCCCCGCCCTAGTACCAGAACCCCTGACCCTGGGGCCATGAATTTCACAATTTTGGTAGAGGGCTCAATGCTTATCACAATCATGCCAACAGTTTGACTTCTTGATGTCCAGGAGTAAAGAAGAAGATTTTTAAAGATTGCATTAATTTTGGTGGTTTTATCCCCATCCCTCAGGCCCCAGGGGGGCAGGGACCATGAAATTCAAAATTTTTGTTCCCCTTCACACATACATGCCATATGCTAAAATTGGCTGAGATTGGTTCAGTGGTTTCAGAGAAGAAGCTGAAAATGTTCAAATGTTAACACACGACGGACGACGCCGGACGAAAACAGATAGCAATAGGTCACCTGAGTGACTCAGTTGACCTAAAAAGCGTTTTTAGTTAACTTTGAAATGGATACCAACTGGGACAGAGTACGTTGCAGCTCAGGCCAGAATGGCAATAGTGCATATTTATTATTTAAAATATCTGAATATAAAATTTGTACATAATTAACGCTTGGACGAGTAGGTGATGATGGATTATACGAAAATCATTGACGTGCCATGCATGAATACCGCTCTCCAAGCACTTTTTTGGTTTTCATTTGGATTTGTCTTCCCTGATGAACTATATACTTAAGTATAGTTACATGTAACCATAGATTATTATTAATTATATCGAAGTTTTTACTCTCAGGATAATTAAGTAAATTTTGAATTTCAAATACATGCATTACCTTCATTTTCTCAAATTCTTACAATATAATTTTTATACACATTTACTGTTTATTCACAGTTATTTTCGAAAATTTACATTTATTTCTTGTTGTGTATTTCTTGGTGTGGAATTTTAACTTTTATTCATTGGCGTGGAATTCAAATATTTATTTAATGGTGTAGAATTTTACATTTACATGTAATTATTGATGAGGAATTTTAACATTTATTTATTGGTGTGGAATTTTAGAGATATTAAGGCTCTAAAATCTGAACAAAGTCCGTAGTAAAAGTATTAAAGTATGTGTCACTGTCAACTAATTTTAACTTTACTAACAGTTAGTTATGATTCATTTTTATTAAGGTTATTTAAATTTGGGTTTGTTAGGATTAGAATATAAACATGTTTTAGCTTACCTGAGCTGAAGGCTCAAATAAGCTTTTCGTATCAAAATTTGTTCCGTTATTTGTTGTTGTTCGTTGTTTTCGGCGTCATGAACGTTTTACAATTCAACTTCCTCACCAGAACCGCTGGGCCAATTTCAACAAAAATTTGCACAGAATATCCTGTGAACGGGATTCAAGAGTCACACCCTCTTCCAAAGGAAGATAATTAAGAAAATGTAAAATTGTTTAGGGTCATTTAAAAATCTTCTAAAGAACCGCTTGGTCAGAAGAGATGAAACTTATGTGAAAGCTTCCTCACATAGTGTAGATTAATTTTGTTCAATCATGACCCAAGGGGATAGGATGAGGCCTCAATGAGCGATCCAAGTTTTATATTATCATTATCATTAAAACAATATGAGCTGCCACGATGATGTCAGAATTTTTTTGGCAATATTGTAATTAACTATGCCAATGAAATAAACAAGAACCTTTATCAACTTCTATATTGTTTATTTTTGCGATGGATGAACTTATTTTAAACTTTGATTGAAGCAAAATTACATTATTATTACAATATAGATTTCTTATATAATACTATATATTCCATTGTACAGAAATTGTTCTTATCACAGACCTGTTTACTCTTACGATTTCGCCGTATTTTGAGTCGAAAATTCTTCGCACGTTTTGCTATTATGAAAGTACAGAAATCGGAAATCCGTTCGTTTGGATTTTCGCAGTTTTCGTTATGATCTGTCTTAGTTGGACGCTTTTTAATTGCTAAAAAGGGGAAAGATTTCAAACACTTAAGTGATGTCGGGTTGCCAAATCGCGGTGGTTTAAAAAATGACAGAAATGGTAATCAGAAGTGTAGTTGTTCTCTAGTAATATATGTAAAATCGATGGAAAGTGATATCTTGTTTGCAAATGCCAATTCTCACTGATCACTGACAAACCTAATAAAAAAAAATATTGAGAGACAACAATATGGGTAAAAAGGACTGTTATCAAAAAAAAAAAAAAAATTAATACTTTATTTTAGTCTAATTGATCATATACGTTTACGTTGCATACGTATTTATCATAACAGCACATTTTAACAGCAAAATAAAATTCACAGAAATGCAGCTCATATTGCTTTAAAAATCTGATGATGAAGAAAAGCAAAGCCATGATCAGTCATTTTTATAAGGAAACACCCACAGGTAGTATAGATTCAAGTTCATTCCGCCAAATCTTGACTACCAGGGCTAGGATGTGGCCAAAATAGCCTATCAAAAATTTTCATAGGAATGCATAGGAAAAATATTCAAAAATCTTCTTAAGAACAGCAACCATGATCAGTCGTATTTATACGGAGGCATACAAAGGCAGTAGATCAACCGAGTTTGTTCAAAACATGACCCCGGGGGTAGGGTCGGGTCACAGTTAACAATCATAGTTTAACATAGGAAAACAATCAAAAATGAAAAAAAAATAGGAACAGCAAAGCTATGTTCATTAATGTTTTCAAGGATTCATCCACAGGTAGTGTATATTAGTTTCTTTAAATCATGGGTGGGGACAATTTGGATCAAAGTTTGGATCAAATTCTAAATTTACTAGGAGAGGTAAATGTCAAATTTATAATTTTGCATT